CTGTAAAATGATTATAAATCAATAAAAAATGTTAAAAAAAAATTGCAAACCACATAAGGAAATGATGTGCCGTTAGCGAAAGTCAGCAAACAGAGCAGACTAGTTTAGCATTCTAATAACATACAAAAATACAGCAGTCTGAAAGGGACTTTAAAATAACTGTGTTTAAAATGATTATAAAGGCAAAAAAAAAAAAAAAACCCATAAAGAAAGGATAGGCTATTTTGAAAGAGAACAGAGAAATTTGCAAAAAGAACCAAATGGAACTTTCCAGAAATGGAAAAAACAAAAGGTCATTGAAATAAAAGCTCAGTGGATGTGTCAAACATCAGGTTAGACAAAGCTGAACAGAGATTTAGTGAACTGAAAGGCAGATCAGGGAAATTGCCCCCCAAAGCAGCACAGGCAGATAAGGAGAGAGAAAACACGAAAGAGAAGCTAAGAGGCCTGGAAGGCAAAGCAAGAAGGTCCAAACTTCCCTGCAGAGAGATGCAGAAGGAGAAGAACAGAGAGAATGGGGGACTGGCAACGCTCCATTTTCCCAAATGGATGGGAGACATTCATCCTGAGATTAAAGAAATGTTCGGAGTTCTGAGAAGGACCCACAAAAACAAACCCACGTTCAGATAAGTTGCAGGGAAACTGGATTCAAAGAAGCACAAGCAAGTGTATAATTTTTCCCAGGAATGTCAGAAAGTTCATGGATCACTGGGGCTTGAAGGCTGTGTAGAATCTTAAGAGGCAGAGAATATGGTGAGGCTGTCAAGGAGATCTAAGAAGTAGTAGGAACACATGAGATTCCAGCCTGTTGGACTAGTTTCTGAACAAGTTTTAACACAACTTGTTTTGAATTAAGTTACCTAGACTCTGGACACCTGTTTGTTACCTGAGGGTTTCAAGGGACCCTCCCCTGCTCTGTGTCTTCACTTCAGCCTGGCCTTTGATCCTCCTGTTCGGGTCCCCTGCTCTGTCTCTGAGATCCACCACGATTCCACAGCCCTGGGAAGAAGGTCTTTTTCTGAGATCACTCATAACCGTCTTGCCCTTTGAGCCTCCCCGCTTCTTGGGGCTGGGTTGAAATTGGACTATCAAACCTTCCTCCTGTCTCCTTGGTGTCCTTTGGGAAATAGAAAGCCCCTGCTCTGAAGTGGACAGCAGGGGCTGGCCCCACTGCATCTGTGCCTTGTTAGCGGGGCCAGTGGCTTCAGAGGAACAGAAAAACCTGCCTGTGGTAATTGGCTCATGAAAGCTGCGTGTTGCTGGAGGGGGTGGGCGGGTCTGGTGAGGAAGGGGAGCAGGCTTAATGGGAAGCAAATGTGAGAGAAGAGCCTCGTGCAGACCCTCCCCCAATTCATGGCCATTAGCATTCCTCAGACACCTGCAGGCACTTGGTCCTGGCTGTGGATAGGATGTGCTGGCTCCTTCCTGCTGGCGCGCAGAACAGAAAGATGAAGTTTGGTTCCAATTAACAGGGGCAGGGAGCAGGGGTGGACGTGAGACGGGAGATCTCTTCTTTCTTGTGTCTTTTGAGAGTATGATTTGATTTTTTGGGAGATTTTATCTGGCAGTTGTTGAATTCTGCCCCACCTTATGGTTGTATGTGGTGTCAGGGAGAGAGCACTGGGCTTTGGGATCAGATGAACCTAGGTCTGAAGACCCGATGAGCCCTATCCTGGCTTTGTGACCGTAGGAAAAGTTCTGAATCTCTGTAGTCCTCAGCCTCCTCCTCTGTAAGAACAATAAAGGAATAATACCTACCAAACAGGGCTACTGTAAGGAATACGTAAGGTAGACCCCTCCAAGGCGCCTAGCAGAGTACTTTCTAGGACACAAGCACTCCAAAAATAGAATTTTCTTTATCCCTGGATTGTAAATCCCTTTAGGGAAGGATGGCATCTTGTCCATCTTTGTAACCCCTGAGGTCACTACTACAGTGCCAGGCAGACGAAGCCGACTGTTGAGTATGTTAAGGAGTGAATGCCCTACACACTGAGCGCCCCCTGCCCGCTGGTACAGGTCAAAGTTCAGCTCAAGAAGCCTGAGATGCCAGGAAGGAAAAAAATTGAGTCCCTGACATCATTACAATGAGCATGTGGCAAACTGGTGAACAACCAGTAGGAGAGCAACACGTGTTTCCTTGAGGCCACTTGAAGAACTTCATCTGGTTACTGGGGGACTCTAGGTCTGTCTTGCAGGGAGGGAGCTGTGGCTGGGAAGTAGGACACTGCCCTGCCCGGGGACCCAGCCTGGCCGGGGAAGAAGGGCGTCCCTTTTCGACTTCTCCCAGCCGGTGCAGATACCCTGCTGGGATCAGGCTGGAGGAGGGCGAAATGGTCTCTGGGGCTGGCGCCCCTCCAGCCATGGAGGCCTTTGGCGGGGGCTCCTCTCCACCTGCTCTCCAGCTGCTGCTGGTGGAGGCCCGGTCGGCTGCGGCATCCTCCATGCATCTTTAATCTGTCATGCCTTGGTGCCAAACATCTGTAGCGTAGATCTACTGGCCGTTTATTTTCTGTTTGTCTTGGGTGTGACACAATCTCCCTTCTTCACTTCAATGACTCCTCTCTTCATTATTACTGTCTCAGCCACTCTGTTTATTTGCTTTCCCCCAGCCCCAGCCACTTTCCCTCTCTTCTCCCAGATTGACGGGGACCCTGCCAGCCCTCCCTGCTTCCCTTTCTCCCCAGCTCTGGACTCTCTCCTCTGCTGTCCCAGGGCCCTGCTCTCCCTGCTGGGAACCTCACTCAAACCAGATGTGGCTTCCTCCTCCTCTTCCTCCTTCTTTCCCTGATTTGCCAAGGGCTGCCGGGGGCAGGGGGGAGGAAAGCCTCCCCACCCACTTCCTGCTCCCCCTCCTCTGCTTCTCTGCCCAGCTCCGCGGCCCCCGTCAAAGGGCGGCGAGCAGCGCACGACAGGACGTGTGTTTGGTGCCAATGGTGAGGCGTGGTGGGCCATTCTGGGCAGGAATCTTACCCCTGGGAGCTTAGCCAGCGGGAGCCTTGATCCCTCCTGCAACACAGCTGCCCTAGAAGAGTCTGGGCACAACTGCTGACGTTAAATATCCCAAACTCTTTGACCGTGGATTGTATCAAGGCCTCTCTGCCTAAGCATCGCCCGATTAGCAACATCTCACAACTGGTTCGTCCTTATGGGCTATGGAAGGGCCTTAGTTCCAAAGCCTCAGCCACCCTCTCCGTGGCCCTGGGGTGCAGGGTCATCGGCCGCTCACGACAGAGAAGTCTCAGCTCCGGCATGGCTCAATGATGAAGGCCAAGTAAAGATCTGACCTCACGTCTGGTCTGATGTGAAGAATGGCTGATTAGCTTAAAATTTGGGGCCGCCTTTCTCCACCTGGCTCCTTCTGACCCTGTTCCAACACGTGGAAATGCGTCTACTTTGACAATTAAAGCCCAGGTTTGGAGGTAACAGCCAGCCTGGGGCACAGCTCTCTGTTTCTGGAATCCTTTCTACCTCTGGCCACGATGGGCATGGGAGTTTGACCTCTGAGATGACCGCAGTGACTGTTAGCGGTGCATTATAGCTCTCACTGGGCAAAGAACATTGGATTGTACGAGGAGTGGGGGATGTAAGAGAAACTGGAGACGGCCTGTCACCAGAAGGAGGGTGTGACAAAGGCTTAAGACCCTATAAAAAATCACCAGTCAACTAGCTCAGCCAGGGGCCAGGCCGGGTCTTTGGGGGCCTGATCGTTTATTATGTGGCGGTTAGGCTCTCTTTAAGTAAAAGAACTCACAAGTATGAACACAGAATTACCAGGGCCCCTCCCAGGGCCTTGCAACGAGCCCGTGCAAAGATCTTTCAGTTCTTGGAAAATCCGCCCCAAAGATAGCTTGAGTACATAGGTGGATTCTCAGTGAAAGCTTTGTTTGGAACAGATCAGGACAGTGGTTCTCTCCCTTAGTGGGCCCAAGGCACACATGGAGCATGTGTTAAAATGTGGGCCCTGCCTCACCCCCAGAATCCCTGCTTCCATGATCTGGGTGGAGACTATGAACCTGTATTTTAACTTGGAGTCGTCCAGAGGATTCTGATCCTGGACACCTGGGGATTAAACTCCAGGAAGTACTGGTCCAGCCAACCCTGTCACCAGGAAGTGATGGTGGAGAACGGAAGAGCCTTGCTACAGTCACAGAGCCAGTCGGCAGAGCTGAGATCTGGGGCCTGCGCACCCCGCTCCAGGTTCTTTCAGCTGGACTCACTCCTGGTCAGACTGCACTTCCTGAAGAAGGTGGGTAATTAACCTGGAGGTAGGGACGTGACTGATGTGAAAAGCAGGGAGAGGCAAGGAAGGTGGGGGCTGAGGGGTGAGACACATACAGCCCCACTGCCTGGGACTCTTGAAAGGAAAGACCTAGGGCCCTGAAGGCGGTGCCCAGGTCGCTGGGGAGGGGACCTTTAATTGCTGGCAGGTGCCGTAGGAGTGGGGCAGAGCTTCTCCCAGAGAGGAGCTTCCATGAACAGTCGCTCAAAGCCTTCCAGAGCTCCCCACGCCAAAGGCCACCAAGAAAGGATACAAATGTTAAGGCAACACTCTCATTAAGCTGAAATACTGACTTGTCTCAATAGGAACTTTGTTTTGACCAGACGTTCAGTTTAACATGTAAATGACTCTCACCCACTGGTGAGTACGCCTCCTCTTCCTCTGGAGTCTCTTCTGAAGACTTGGTACCCAGCGAGGAGACTAGGGACGAGGAGGGCTGGAAGCGGGCTCCTCGCTGTCCTGAGCGACAGAGGGGGCAGCGGAGAGGATGTAGCTGGAACAGGGAAGACAGCACCTGGCTGATGGGAGACATGCCCACCTGCTGTGTGGGGCGGAGCCTGCCCAGATCGGCCCTGCCCCTAGGCTCCAGGTGTGAGGTGAGGGGCACTGCACGTGGCTTCCCTCCTCCAGGCTCCGCCAGCAGCCACCAGGGCCGGGCCTGAGACGCAGGTCCACAGCCTCAAATGTGGAGGAAGCCAGCTCTCAGCTCAGATTAAAGGAAGGAGGAAATTGCTCCAAGTTTCAAGAGGGCTTAGGAGCCTGACAGGCCTCGAGTATTAGGATGAGATGCTCTTAGCCTCTCTGCACTGCACAACTCCAGGGGGCGCCAGTCACAAAGTAGTCTAGTGACAAGGCGGCCTGCTCTTACTCAGTGTTCGCCGGCTCACGGGGAGGAAGGGTGAGGACAGCGGAGGAGGAAGAGGGAAGAAAGGAAGGATGGAAGGAAGAAAGGAAGGATGGAAAGGAGGGGCAGTTTTCCCTGAATACCTGCTTTGTGTCAGGCCGTGGGCTGGGACGCTCAGGTGGGCAAGCGCAGGGAGGCCCAAGAGCAGGACGAGAGGAGAGTGGGGCGGGGGCAGCAGAGCCAAGCCGCCGGAGGAGGGCTGAGCCCCTTGAAAGCTGCTATTGTTTGAGGTCTCTGCTCAGAGAAGCCCCGAGTAAAAAGAGCTTGTTAGAGAGGGCCAGGCGGGAGACAAGCGGCTCTCAGAGAGCCAGTGAACCGTGCGAAATGACTTAAACTAACATCCCTGACTGCACTGGGCTGGGACCCGGGAGTCAGGACCGTGTGCTCATCAGAAATTCATAGAAGGTGCCCCGCGGCTGGGTTTTCTCTGGCCGCCTTGTTCACTGAGCGGTTTTTTCTTTCCAGCCCCGCGGATCTGAAAGGGAGACAGGGGCTGCCTGATGGGGAAGATCAAGTGGCCTTTGAAAACCTCTCTTGGAGTTTATTAAACCCCGGGGCCAAGGCAGGCCGACCTGGAGGCCCAGCCAGGCCTGGCTCCGCCCACCGGGCTCCCCGTGAGGAACCTGGCCGGTTCTCCTGTCTCAAACTTGGCAGGTCTACACGAGGGACAGGGAGCCGGTCCTGGAGGAACCAGAGTGAACACACACATCTTCTTTCAGAAGATGAGTGGGGGATGCGAGGGCAGGAGCCTGGGCCGGGGTGCAGATGATGCAGATGATGCAGCCTTCTCTCCCCAGGCCGGCCCGGAGGACACCGCCTGCCTCCTGCTGGAACTCTTCACTCGGGGACCCCTCCAAAGCGTCTGTGCTAAAGGTCCGCACAGAGGAATCGGAAGGTCTCTAATCTGGATCACTGCTCACTGCCCAAGGAAGGGCGGGAATGAGGCTTCTCGGAGCAAGCCTCGGTTTCTGGGATCTGGAGCCCCGCAGAGACGGAGAGGCAGGAGATCACACCAGCTGATGCTCAGTTTGCCCCCAACCTCAACTCCAGAGGGGCTGGTCCGCGCTGAGACAGCTCACAGGAGGGGCCCAGGAAGGTCGACATTCAGCTCAGAAAACTCCGGTGAAAGTGCTCTGTAAACTGCGAAGCCTGGAGCCTATGGAAAGCAGAGTTGTGGCGGACCTGCTTATTTCACAAATACTTACCGAGGGCCTTCCACGTGCCGGACGCTCTTCCAGACGCTGGGCAGGAGGAGGGAGCAAAGCAGCGGCTGTGTTAGTGAGCGGACGGGGAGCGGCCGCTCTGGAACCAACACGCTGGTGACCCCAGGCAGTAACTGCACTCCTCTGAGCCCAGGGAGGGGAAGGAAGGGGCAGGACCAGGAGGGAACCACATCTGAGCAGAGCAGCTCCCTTTCATCACTTCACATCCTGGGATTCGGCGTCCGATTTCTTTTGAAAAGACAGTTCTGCCGATTTAAAAGGTTGAAAACCATCCATCAAGTCTCCCCACCCCCTATTTGAATCTTTTTTGCCTTGTTTCATTGCCAGTGCCCCCTTCCCAAGTCATTTCTAGGCTCTCTTCTTCCTCCTCCCTATACCCCTCGCCCAGAGGAGACTGCTCTCTCCCAAGCCAGCCTTAGGATTTGGAATCCAATCTGTCTCGGTCCCTTTCTAAAACGCGCGCCCTTCAAACAAGTTCAAAGCCGTTTCAAGTTTTTCCTGAGTCTCTTTCTCGATAACTGTAGAGAATAAACAGATGGTGCCAGTCTGAAGATGTAAAGCTGGAGTTCAAAGTCATATATGGTAACTGTCCCTGGACTTTGAATGGATTGCAAGGTGTGAGAAATGGCCCTACTGCCCCTATGCTGTAGAGGTCTTCCTCCAGGGCCCAGGCGGCTAACAGGCAAGTTTGAAGCACTCACCTCCCAAGTTAAGGCTAGCCCTCGTGTCCTGTTGGAATTACAGACTAGCGCCTTGTCCTATGGGTCTAGGAGGCCACGAAAGACATGGTTTGGGCAGCGATGCTGGCAGTCCCTTTAGACAGGCACTTGTGGAACCAGACACCAACCAAATCCGGCTAGCAGAGAGATTCCAGCTCATGTACCAACCCTTTCCGATGCGGGGTGGCCGCCTGGAGTGCTCTGTTTAGACAGATCCCGAGACTGTGTTGTTGTTATTATTATGAGAGTGTTATTATTGACTTGTGATGTCTGCCAGGAGCATGAGCTGGAGGCGTGGTAGAATCCATGATGCTCTTCTCACTCCAGAACCAAAGGAAGAGAGGGGAGGGTTATGAAGCTTATGCTGATCATATTTTTTTCTGCACAAAAAATATGAGAACAAATGATCTGACAGCAAGCCAGAATATCTGAATTTGGGAACTGTGCCCAAAAGTTGGTACATGTGTTCACTGCATGTTCCTTCCTAGAATCAGAGTTCTTACAGCTGGTAGGGACTCCCAAGAGAAATTATACCTTCGTGGTTTTCAAATGATTCTTTTACAGGCTTGCAACGGTAAGCCTTTCTTTCCAGGAAATCTTACACAAAAGCATGAACAAACACAGCAGATAATGTGGAGCTGCTCTGGTTGAGATGGGGTGTGAGACATGGGCCCTGCTGGCTGTGAGCGTCCTCCCTCCCACCGCCAAGCTCCTTCCTCTCCTTGCCCTCTGCTGGCTTCCCAGGACTCCTGGTGCTCCTTGGAGCCCATCTGAAGCTCCTCACCTACTCTTCCTCCCTGCTTTTAGGCAGGGTATTTTAAAATACTTTTGCAGAGGTGAACAAACTAAGGCTCAGGAGTCTGAATTAAATTAGACGGAGTCAATGTCCAATTATCCTGGAAGCTGTATCACATTCACACACCTCCATACACACCACCATTACCCACATCCTCAAACTTTCTCTAGTCCCCTTGCTCCCGAGCCGTGAACCACCTCCTGCTTTTTTCCTTTCTAACCTTGCTCACCCAGGCTGCTCCAGGCCTTGCTGAGCATGCCCTTATAGTATAAGCACATTTCACACCCCCTCCCTCATGCCCACAGCTTAATGGGGACCCCAAGTCCTGGTCCTCAGCCTGGGCTGCATCTTGGTACCATTGGCCCCATCCTCTTCTCCATCACTTGTCCACCTCCCTTTGTTCTGCAGGTCCAGAGTGACCTCCAACCCCGTACACATGGGACAACCTCTGGCTCTGTGCCCAGAGCCCACTCTGTCCTTCCCCACCTCCTCCCTCTCCTACCCTGGCTCCTTCCCCTTACTGGATGCACCACCTGGTTCTCTTACCTACCACTTTGGGCTTCTGTTCATTCCACTCCCTGAAATGCCCTTCTGTCCAAATTTTCTCCTCTATTTCATTTTAAGGAAGTTTGAGAAGCCAGTTTCTTCCCAGGAGCCTCCCTGGATCGAATGGAAGTAAAGCTATTTTTCCCTAATATTTCCACCCATTCATCCATGCTTAGCACAAAACCCACTGGCACATGGTACTGGACATCATGCCAGGGTTAGTTTACTTTGTTCTTGGGTGCTGAGCCCTGGTGTCTTCCTGATTTATTTTGTGCCCTCTGCATCTCTCCGCATACACACGGCGGTTGGACGCTGTAGCCCCCTAGGCAGGCATTTAATAAAGAAAGCACAGGAGAGAAGCAAGCGGATCTGGTAGAGGGCAGGATGGCTGTGGGTGCAGGGACTCGGCTGGGGGTGATGAGGGGAAGAGGCGGGATGGA